GATATCATTTAAACTGTTTTATTTGCAGTATTCATCTGTTATTAGCACTTTCAATGCTGAAGTTTTATACTAGAAACTTTTTAAATATATCAGTTAAACTGTGTATTAAAATTTATCATAGATTTCTGTCATAGATTTTTTTCCCCTGTGATTAAACATTATCAGTCAAAACAACTTGGGGAGGAAAATATTTATTTAATCTTCTAGTCATAGTTGGTCATGAGGGGAAAACAGAGCAAGAGCTCAAGGCAGGAACTCAAGGCAGAGACTGAAGCAAAGTCCATAAAGGACTTCTGCCTATTGGCTTGCTCAATCTGCTTTCTTATACTTCCTAAGACTACCCACCCCAGGGTGGCACCTCCCACAGTGGGTTGGTCCCTCTTAAATTAATCATTAATCAAGAATTTGCCACATAGCCTTGTCTCAGGGTCAGTCTCATGGAGGCATTTTCTCAAAGGACGTTCTTTCCAGCTGACTGCATCTTGTGCCAAGCTGACAAAACTGACAGACAGCAAAATTTCCTAATACCTTAGTATCTCTCCTATGAAATCTGAAAAAATAATTTTTTCCATTGAAAACTTACCTTATTGATAAATGTTATTTATTGTGTGTGTGGTGGTGGTGGTGTTGGGGTACGCTGCAGCTTGTGTGTTGAGATTGCAGGACCTAGAGAGATCTTTTCTCTCCTTCATTTATGTGTGCTCCAGGAAGCAACTCATGATGTCATACTTCATGAGTCAACATCTTTACCGACTGAATCATGTTCCAGACTTGATTGAATTTTTTTTCATTTCTTTCTTCCATTTTTCCTGCAGAAAGCATATCAAGATTAGAACAACAATAAATAAATAAAATTAAATACATAATCTTTATCATGTAGTACAAATCTCTAAAAATAATCGACCATAATCAACCATATTTAAAAATTTGGTACGCAAAGCTGCCAGGAAATACAATTTATGGGATGTCAGATCTTTAGTCTCTGTGTTTAATTGTTTTATTTTATCTGCTTTTGGAATGCCAATAAATTTCAATTAAAATCATGTCTATTGATTATGGTTTCAAGATCATCTGTTTCCCATAGGAACTGTATAATCCAGTTATAAAATGTTGGTCTTTCTTACTCATATGGTCCTTGAGAATTCAAAAGCAGTCATTTCAAGAGACTTACAGCCAAATCTTAAGTGCACTTGACTCGATCCATTTTGGATCAGAATGTTTCCCAGAGGCAGGGAAACCAACTAATGAAAATCCCAATGAGTCACAGCAGAAAGTTCTTCAAATTCATTCACTTAGCTTCCTATCTCTTGAGTGAGGCTTTTATTGAGCCCAGTTCATAAATTGTACATTTTGATTGAATTAAATCAAACTGACTACACTTGTAACTCTGTTCATTTGAAGAAAGGGACACTGGGTTTTGTATTATGATGTGGATAGCCTATGGAATGGCAAAGTCATTGTAACACACACACACACATACATATGGTTTAAACAATGTGTGTCTCTATACTTCTATACAAAGAAAATAAGTTTTCGTACTTAAGAAAAAATAAGACACAATGATAGAAACTCTAGGTTCAAATTCAAAGGGACAAAGTGAAGGAAACTAAAATTAGCAAGAGAAGATAATAATTCTTATTATATAATAAGTATTTTTATAACAATATGTCATGGAGGAAACTTAACCTAGACCTTTTATTACTCTTGACATTTTTAACAGAAACAAGTTAGTCCTGAAATAGCCCGTGACAAGTAATTCAGCCTTTGTCAGGATTTCTTTCTGCACAAGTATCAAATATTTATGGGATCAGTCAAAAAGCCTTGACCGCATCCGCAAGGCCAAAATGAACACAGTACATTGTTGCTGGGTTACACTGCTCAACTTGATGTGGGTTTTCAATACTTGAAAAGAAACTGTTCCCTTTAACTCTCACAGAGACTTGTAGCTGCACTGTGCTGTTTACCCTAAAACACAGACTCTTGTCTTCGGGCTGCATTATTATCCTGATATTGTTTTTCAAAACTTCAAGGGGACTCTTTTCCTCCCCCCACAATTTTTAATATTCCTAAGTAGATCATGCACTCATATGTTAAAATAACTTAAAGGCTTCCCATGATAGAATTGGATCACTTCCTTGACATCTGTATTTTAATTCATTTCCCAGAGACAAAGAAAAATTCTTTTATTTTACTTTCCAAATCTCCCTCATACTTGGATAGCTAAATATATTCATATGCTTTCTTTTAAAGGAATACTTTATTCTTTGACACTATCATATTTATGTCCAGTTAATTATGATTCTATCCTTCTCAAAGTTAATTATTCTGCATATGATTACTTAAACTATGACCACTGAGAACTATATAGTGATCAATTTTTTGAGTGATTGCATATTATACTATAAAGAATAAAGCTATATGGACCTGATGATGTCATTATTATTTCCATGTAGGTATATAAACACATTAGAATATGTGGTTGTTGCCAAATTGTTGTTTGTAAAGGATAATAATAATTTCTATTCGTGTGCAATATAAGAAATATTCAAGACAGAGAATTAATAAACCTATGCTACTTGTTAATCTGATAAGGGTTGGTTCTTTCTATTTCTGACTGGCTTACTGTAATAATGAGGCTTCTCATATCCCTTCATCTCATGTGCACACTCATATATCTTACTCAGAATTATGGAACAGACATTCTCATTCAACCCATGGGAATCACGGGACAGCAGTTAAAATACAGAAGTCTTTCCCCCATTTTTAAAAATAAAATAAATGAGCTAGCCATTATGGTTTGTTACAATCAGTTTTCCACCTTATATAAACTTATTAATTTTCTTTGTTTATAGCCATGTTCTGATCTGAGGTCACAGAGTATACTTCTAATTAAATCTTATAATCGCTCTAAGCAATATTCTGTTTTGGTAAAAAAAAAAAAAAACATGATACCTTTAATAATGCATATGCCATTGATGGAAGAAAGAGAACTCAGGAGAGAGGTGAGTAGAAAATAAAAACTCTGATGTGAACTCCGTGGTCAGCAAAGGGATGCACTCATTTTACTTTTTTAGTTAAAGATGTAGATAAGACATTCTTCAGAACAACACTGAAGAACCTTCTGGACACACAGACAGAGTGGAGGATTTAATGATCTTCCCAGTACACTGTGTTAGTTGAAAGCAAAGTGGGGCAAAAGGCAGTGTCTGCTTTGTATTTGCTGTGGTTGCATGCTGACTTACAACAGAACTTCATAAAGAGAATCACACCTTCTTAGAAGCAAACCGTGAGTAATGTGAAGGAAAGCGCAGACATTAGGAAGAGCACTGCTGCCTTTACACTATGTCGTACATGATCTTTTGTGGCCCGAAAGGATGGAGAGATTTCAAAGGTCACATTTAATCTTATCTATAATTAAATAAAATATAGTAATTACTCTGCGATGTACTGATTAATCTGAGTTAATCAGAGTTGGAAGGGAAGCTGATTGTATTGAAAATAAGAGAGCACACTTAATATCTTAATACCTATTTTAAAGAATCGCAAAATTAAAATTAGTAAAAATGTTTTAAAGAATCTATTCATTTTGTCTCTCAGAAGAGATCTTCCATTCCACATGTTGGTAAGATGGAACGCCTTGGAATAATCGGTCGTGCTCATGGAACTGAATCTGGAAAGTGTCATGACGGAGAACGTCTTTGATCTTAGCTCACAAAAGTGGAAAATGCTCAACTAATATAGATCATTAGTCTAATAGCCTTACTAACATTAACTACAGTCCCATTGTAACAGAATGCTTTGTACTTAACAATTCCACAAACCATTAATCGGTTAGAATACTAATCATTAATGATAATATAATAAGCATCAAAATTTGTGGTTTGCATTGGAAATAGTTTTTTCTCTTATTTTCTTAGTTCCTTGAGAATTTCATACTATGTGTTTTATCATATTCACCCGTTTCCCCAATTCCTACCAGATACATTCTCCTTTCCATATTTACACAACTTTTTTTTCTTTTTAAACCCATCAAGTCCAGTTTGTGCTGCCCACATAATCTTGGAACTGTGGTCTTCTATAGATAGGAGTGTGGTTGATTTACCAGGAGCTATACTTCAGTCTCTGTGCTTCTCTTTCTTCCTCCCTCCCTCCTCTCACTTTCTTTTCTCTTATCTCTCCCTCCTCTTTCCTTTCTCTTTCAATCTCTCCAGCAGCTATCAGTTGCCAACAGTTTCTCAGCTAAGGCTGTGATTTTGTGCACACATCCACTCTTCATACTTGGAGTATGCAAAAATCTCATGCATACTCTATCCAACTCTGTGGGTTCATTGGGTCAGTGATCCTGCTGTGTCTTAAAAACAATTTCTTTGCTGTCATCCATGACTTCTGGCTCTTAACAGTCTTGCCACCCCTCTTTCCACAGTGATTCTTTAGCACTGGGAGGAGGGTCTATTGTTGACCGAGGTTTCTGTCCCACCTGGTCCCACAATCATTCAGTAAGCACACAGAGGCTTACATTAATTATAAACTGGTTGGCCTATCAGCTTAGGCTTCTTATTAACTCTTATATATTACATTTTTTTTAGTTTAAAAAACTACAAACTATATTTACATCAAAAATTGAAATGACAAGAACAAAGAACAACATGGGCTCCAAAACCACCAAGGTAAGAGACGGTCAACACATCATTCTACCTCACAGGTTCCAGACTGCAGCCCTTACAAGGTTGCACCAAGAAAACACAGTAACTATGGTCCAATAGTCACTGAGGAAACATCAACCAAAACCATCACCAAGCCAGCCTTTTCTCTCCAAAAAGCTCATGCCTGTAATCCCAGCACTTGGCTGAGTGAGGCAGGAGGCGTATCATGAGTCTGAGGACCACAGAGGGACACTATATCTCAATAAAGCAAAGTGACCCACGTGTCTTCTGCTTCTGCACTCCTGTGTGAGGCTGACCAGGCTGGGATGTGGTGGCGGTCTGAGCAGGGTGTGAACATCAGTACTGGAAACTGCGCTTGGTCCTGATATCGAGAATCTGCTGCAGTTCCTCATCTTCAAAAAGCCCTTCCAGACTTGGAATCAAAGCTTTGGACTCCTCAGCAGTCTCTGGGCAAAGATTAGCTAAACATGCCAACTCAAACTTATGTAACTTTTTCTGGAGAAGCAAGCTACGAACACTGGCAATGGTCTCTCTATTTTTGAAACAACTGAATCGGGCTGTATAGTTCAGGGTTTTCATGAAAACCTCGGAGAGCTCCTGCTCATCTTCGGCGCTCTCATTCTGCTGCTTTCGATGCTCCAGAAGCATGTGAACTTCAGAGTTCAGGAGTGTCTCCGCTGTCTCAAACTCTTTCGGAAAGATGAGTTGAGAGGCATCTTCTTCTACGTCTCCAGCCCGAGGATCACTGCCGCCGGCCGCCATTGTTTTAGTATGTACCGCCCTCTTATATATTACATTAACCCATAATTCTTGCCTGTGTTAGCTACGTGGCTTGGTACCTTTTATCAGTGAGGCATTCTAGTCTTACTTTCTCTTTGTGTGACAACTGCAGACTGAGCCTTTCCTCTTCCCAGAATTCTCCTGCTCTGGTGCCTCTGCCTTTATTTCCTGCCTGGGTACTGCCCAATCAGCCTTTTATTAAGCCAATAAAAATGACAAATCTTTACAGGGTACAAGGCCACTGTCCCACAGGAGTATATTATATAGATGTTCTATTAATTGGCCACCATTTCACAATTCTTATTTATTTACACCTTGACCAGTTGTGATTTTCAATCTTAATCAATATTTATTGTAAATAAAATATTCTCTGATGAGACTTAAGGGATGCATTAATATATGGATATAATGATGAGACAATATTTCTACACCCATTTGGCTTATTAATAAATAGTGACATGGTTTCCTCTAATATCTATCACCAATCTAGTTTAAGATTTTTGGAAGACAAGACAATAATTCTACACCCATTTAGCTTAGTAATAATAACAGGTTTTCTTCTAATGTCTATTAAAATCTAGCACTGGATTTCTGGCCTGATAATGTTGGTAGGTAGAGGTTTCATCTATGGAGTGTGCCTAAAATCCATTCAGGCCAGTTGTTTTGTAGCACACACTTTTCAAGCTGGGGAGGATTGATGATCTCCTCAATGAATGCATACAGCTTCAGCACTGGGAAGGCTAGCTAGTGGGACAGAACTTTCTTGATTTCTGTCAGAAAAGTTCTTTTTTTTTTTTACAATTGAAAAGAAATTGCTTTGAGCAAGCTCAATCACCACTCATTTCTATTATCTGATGTTCTTTTATCCTTCATGTTTGTAAGTATGCGCCTTCTTAGAGCTACATTTTTCTTTTAGAAAAAAAAAAAAACTAATTCTTACCCTTGAAAACTGTTGGTGTTGAAAATGAACCTTAAAAAGCTGTGCAATCAAACATTTTCTTTTTCTTCAACAACTACAGAAAAAATACTGTGTAATATATACTAACAATTGGCTGGCATTGCCCCTAATTATTTTTGATAAGTATAGAGGTGTATACACATATTATTACTTATAATAACTTTTAATCTCTTTGAATTTATAATTACATCACGTCCCCATTATCTTTCTTCCCTAAAAATCCTTCTAAGTATTTCTGTCTCCTGTTTTCTCTAAAAAACATAGCCCCTAATTCTTTAAATACATATATACACTCACAATATATACATATTTTATATAGTATATACAATGTTCTATGTCTCCATATGTTGTACATGCAAACACACACAAGCTGTTCATTCTGTATAATGATAGTTTTCTGTATAGGATTTTAGTGCTGACCACATGGTATAACCAAATGAGAGCTCAACTCTGAGAAAAACTACTTCTGCTTGGTTACCTATAGTTCGCTGTCCAAGATTGGGGCCTCGTGTTAGCACAAATCCCTTTCCCATGTTAGCATCTATCAGTTCTGTCTTTGTTCAGGTCTTATTTAGGCAGTAATGTTAACAAAACTTCATGGGTATAGCTTCCCTGACATTTCTAGAAGCAAATCAAACAGCTACCTTCTTGTTCTTATGGCTCTTATAATTGTTCCTACTTCCTTTTCACAATGATACCTGACCCTTCAGTTATGAGTTATCCTGAATATGTATCAGTTGGAAATGGGTACCACATAATTTCTTATTCTCTGAATATTATTTTGTATTGTTTACTGGTCTTAGTAAGTTGAGCATAAAATCATATTATGAACACAAAAGTGCTAGATTATAGTTAAGTAGATACATTTGAAAAATTATCTTTCCTGTATCTTATGAATATATATTACATATAAATATATTTATATCATATGTAAATATATACTCATATTTTATTATATATGAATACACATTCATATATTTATATATAATAAAAGTCTAGGACTGATTTGGAAAAATAAATTCTTTAACATATTAAAATTCACATGTATTTTGGTAAACTATTATTTTACCACTCAAAGTAGCACTGTGGTGTAATATATAGTTATGAGCTCTTTCTGTAAATATGTCAAAGGAATAATTGCTTTTTCTTATAATAAATATTTTTTGTTGAATAGAATTTCTTTAGGCTTTAGAAAAATGTATTGTTCTTTAAAAGCAATGGATGGAAAGTGCTGCAACTCTTAAAAAGAGAGATTGATGTTTTATGAACCAATTTACATTCTTTTCATTTAGATCTAGTGGATGAAGCTGAGAGGTTTGATCCTGATTAACATATAACATAGGTACTAACTGTTAAAGCAAATAGTTCGATCAATGTTGTAACCCTGATGATGTCTGGTCTTTATTCTTAAGTATTACTTTAGCTCATGGAATTATATTGAAGATTAATGCCACAGTAGATTGTTGGAAGTCAAGTACACATTTCCATGCCAATGGAAGTATAACTGTTAAAACCAATCCTTTCACTTGAAGAAGTTAAAGTTACTGACTTGATCAAATGTAGAAAACATGAAGATTTTAATGTAATAAATATACTTGATGACAGTATAAATTTGGAACAGACACATCATTTTCTTTTTTTTAAATATTTATTTATTTATTATACAATATTCTGTCTGTGTGTATGCCTGCAGGGCAGCAGAGGGCACCAGACCCCATTACAGATGGTTGTGAGCCACCATGTGGTTGCTGGGAATTGAACTCAGGACCTTTGGAAGAGCAGGCAATGCTCTTAACCTCTGAGCCATCTCTCCAGCCCCAGACACATCATTTTCAATCCCATGTATGTTTTATAATGTTTAGAATGTTGGTACCTGTGTATGTTCAGTTTAGAAATTTTAGGTACTTTGCTAATTATTTAACTTCTCTTACTCCTCACTTGCAAAGTGATAAAAGTGCTCATGTTTTTGTATGAGGATTAATTCAATCATAATATATAGATGAGTGAGTGGCATGTATGAAGGCCTCAGTGAAGATGGAGTGCCATGATTATTTATGAGCTGGCCAGAGTTTTCCAAGCCATAGTGAGGACAGGGCTTCTCCATTGAGCACTGTGATTCATTACATATGAGTATTTCAGTCTTTTAAAACCACTTTCCATGTGGGGAGGAAATAGCTGTCTGCTGTAGATGGTGAGTTTTCATCACACTCAATGACTTCTTTCATTGTAAGGAAGTAATGTGGGTTATCGCATGGGAAAATTTAGCATGACCTGAAGATGGAGCATGCCTTGTTGCCTTTTCTCAGATGCACTTAATGAAGGGAAATATGATAATGTGAAAGACATTTCATGCCTTGTAAACATCTGAAAGTGGATTTCACAGAGAGCCCGCATGTTAAATCAAAGAGAGTATTGGAGTCAATAACCACTCAGTGAAGCCTTCTGTGTGGAAAAATCATTTTGAGGAAAGGCTCCGCTATCACTAATGTGGGGAACTAATGTGAGAATGAAGCATTCTACACTAAAATATGTTTTCAAAAAGGTGTTAACATCGTGCTAGAAGGTGTGGATCTTTCCCTAACTGTTCTGTGCTGAAAGCGACTTAACCATATTCAGCTGGATACACCACATTACAGTCGGTTCATTGTATTGTATTGTAGAGGTCAAATTTATTTTTGTTTCTGAAACTCTTTTGAAACATATGTCCTGATGAAGCTGTGGTTTATATTCCATATAATTTACCAGTTTGTAATTCAATGTTTTTTACATGTGTATAGTTCAGAGGCTTTGGTATACTTAAGACATTATGCAGTTATCAACATATCTGATTGCATAATGTTTAATCGACCCAGAGAGAAATCCCACAACCCCTAGCAGTCATGTGATTATCGCTTCTCCATCTGTCCATTTCCTTTAGCCCAAAAACCAGAGCATTCTTAACTTGATTCATGTTTTATGGGATTATATAGTCTGAGATTTTATTTATATATAAATATATGTAATCATATATACATATATGTAACGGCGTAAGCGAATGCAGACAGATTGTCAAAATATAGACAGCTTTAATGGAGGAATAGACTTACAGAACCACTGTTCCCGCGGAGACCAGGAAAGCAGAAGAGAGCGCTGGGAGCACGCTCACCAATTTTATAGGAGAACTTTAGCCTGAGGCGAACACGCCCCCTAAGGGGTGGGACTTATCCCTACA